AAAGAGATTACAGCTAAGTAGGAAGGATAGGGCAGCGACGAGTGCCCTCGTCACTTCTTAGAACTTTGTTGACAATGGCTAACGGGAGAAAGTACAGATTATCGGTAGTGCCGAGGTCGGGCGCTTCCTGGCGGTAGGTACATCCCTGATGCCCCGCTCGCACGGCAGCCATCGGTACTCGGCTTTGAGAAATTCATTCATGGACTGTGCGAAGCGCGTGGGCGAGATTTCCTTTCCTGTGGAGGAAACCTGTTAAAGGCGATTTCGAGCGGGCGGGCGACGTCGAGTTTCTTCATTCATAGGGGAATATCCAATCGATTGTTTAACCGCATTCGACTATGGTTTAAGCTCAAGACCCGCGCTCGTAAAGTCACGTGTTTTTAATGGCGGCGAGTACATGCGCGCGTTCAGCCAATCTGGAACGCATGCACGCACGCACGCACGCATACTCGATCGTTTTTGCTTAATCGCATTTTATTTTTAATGAGTCTTTAAATCACGAAGAAAAGACATTATTAACATTTGCTCGTTAATAAATTAATCGACAAGTATTATTAATCCAGTATAGAGCGAAATATATAGATATAGAAAATTTTAGAATTAATTTTTATAAGGTGTGGCGGCAATTATTATATAATTTATATTAGTATTTCTTTCCTCCTTTTGATGCAAATAACAAAGTCACGCAAATTACGGATTCGAAAAAATTAGTTCGATAATAAATATTTGTATATTATAGATAATCGTCGGGATACGTAAGACTGAGGTTAAATGAAAAGACACACTATATTAGCAATATATAATTTCTGGTGCGTACGTTAGGAGAAAAATTTCAGCTCCATTCTTTATAAAAGGCTTATTTATTGTAATAAATTATTAAATACGTGTCACTTGGAAGTGGAAAAGTTAAGCGACGTCGTCCGCGAGAATTCGAAATTTAGAAAAAGGAAAAAGGGTATTCGATTGGCCATCTGATGTTCACGTGTGCGTGCGAACCGACATCAGAAAATGTTATTCTTTTTCCTTTAAAAATTCAAATATTTTTTGTTTAATTAATCAGGCGATTGCGATTAATCTACGCCTGCACGTGCGAACCTCCCACCGTGGCTACGTCCTGTTACTCGTATGAGTCGGCCGAAAAAATTAGCTTACACATAGGTCGTATAAAGTCATTATAAATATGAATAATTGACGTGAAAGGTTAAAAGAGTCAAAGAAGATAAAGGAAAAAAGTTAGGATAACGGGATAATAATTGAACGGAAAGTCACGTACAGATTCGCGACGAACCGCGTAAACGTGTCGGAACGTCGGATACCAAATGACCCCCCCCCACCCCCTTGCCCCTCGTTACAAAGAACTAAAGTTGAGATTAGTCCCCGGGGATTAATGCCTTTTAAGCCGAATTTCGCATGGTCGAAGACTCTCCAAGGTTCTCCCTGCGAGAGGCGCGTTGTCTGTGTGCACGGGGTCTAGGGCCATTGGCACACGGGAGGTTCGGATCGCGCGAGGTCGCGCGTCATTTATCGAGGCTATGAATAGCCGCAGCCGCGCTGATTTCCTTCGGCGCGCGCCTAAACGCCTCGATACCGAGTCGAGGTTGTAGGGGGCAAGCTGCCGGTTAGGTCGGCCAAGTCTTGGATGAGACAGCTGCCATCCTGGCGAGGTCGCGTGCTCCAGCACAGCCAGCGCAGCGGTATGAAAAAAAAACCGCCGCTATTGACTAAAAGAGGGAGATTGAAAGAGAGGAAGCGAGACCCCGAGTAACTTTGTATTATTATAGCTTGAATGGGGCCTACCGGAATTGGATTATTTAGGGATGTTTGAGTACAAGGTAATATAGTAGTCGACGAAGGTTGGGTATCATTCC